CCAGTGGCCGCCCGAGCCCGGGAGGCTGCAGAGGACAAGGCGGCCACGTGTGGCCGGTTTCCCTCCATTCCGGGGGAAGCTGTTGCCACGGCAGTTCCTTCTGGCACAAAAGACTTGTATTCCCACCTAATAACGCACTTGGCTGTCCCTCCTCCTTGGTGTGGGGTCCAAGGAATTCAAAACTGAGCGTGAACAGCATAGGCTTCCCTCGGGCATTTGTTTAGCTGTTCTTTTTCACACATGCTGTTAAGGCAGCATATGTGCCTGTGGTGGCCCGCGCGTTACTTAATTTTTTGACCAAGCTTGTTGCAAACTGCTGTACACCGCTGAGGTTGGATGGTTCCCGAGTCTGTGTTTCCACTATGGCCTTTAGGTGTGCGAGAGGCCTCGACGCAGCGAACACGCACGTTAGGACAAAGCCGTCCCCACGCTGCGCTGAGCTGTGCCGCAGTGCCCCATGGCTCTGCTTGCCCATCTCCCCCTGGTTTGAGGCGGGGCTCGGGTGCGTGGCTGGATTCATCTCACCCAAGATCTGTTCTGTGGACGTTCGTACGGTTTGGTTGATCACCAAAGAAGCAGATGGACGGTTCCCTTAAGGTGCCCTAGTGAGGGAAGGCTGTGATGGCTTCAGGAGCGGGGTGGCCCCGGGCTCACAGGAGTGATGGAGCTCAGGGCTGCAACACTGCGTGTCGCAATGGGCTGCGCTCCTGGCTTCCTAAGCCTCAGGCTTCCTTTTTTCTATGCTGCTGCTTGGCAAAGATGTAGGGCCGAGAGACGCTGTTCTCCCCAGTCTGGCAACTTGGGAATCAGAGCTACTGACCCCTGGGCTTTGTGGAGGTGTCAGCTGGATACTCACAAAACAGGCAGACATTCTTAGAAGTCATAACGCTCTTCATTGCTGGTTCTTCATTATCATTCTTTTTCATTTATATATTCATTTCTAATTTTCATATATTTCACAGATATATAAAAACGATGCTGAAGATAACTGAAGAAAATTGTTTTGATAATGGTCAGAAAGCTTGAGTAGTTCCTTTTTATGATTAATTGCTTCATTTAAACCTGTCAGGATACATAGAGCCTTGTAAAGTATTTCAGAAAATACAATGCTCACTATAGTCAAGCAAAATGTCAGCTTTATTTATAGCTTGTTTTGGGGAAATGTAGCTGATGGAAGCATTTTGTTTGATTTTCCAAAATATGGAGCAGCAGAAATAACATACAAGTTCACAGTGTTAAATTTAGGCACTTAAGATTATCTAAAATAACACAGGCTGTGACTGTTGGATCTACTGAGGACTTGCAGCTTGCCTGGAAATCAGAGGAGCTGAAGATTCTGAGCAAACTGCAAAGCTCTATTACCTGTATATACATGTATGCATACGTATATACCTACCTTATGGTCATTTCTCCTTCATATGCAAATGTTGACCAAAGTGCATTGGGAAAATACATTTGCTGTATGTGCTATGGGTAAAATGTTGACAGAATTTCTAGAAAGAATTAAGCAGATAAAATAGAAATGAGATGCAAAGAAGGTTTCTGATCCTATGAAATTAAAAAAGATTCAAATTAACTGTATATTTTTTTTAGTGTGAAATGTCTAATAGGGAATCGTATGAAATACTGCCAGTAGTCAGCATTGTTGTGGGAAAATTAGTCTGATACTCATCAGGAAAAAGTGAAAAGGTCTAAGCAGGAGAGAGAAAAGTCAGACACTTCCATTTCCTGTAGTCTTGAGAGACTGTTGAAAATAAGTACAATTGATCAAAATAAAAGACCTATCCAGAGACCTAAGCTCTAAAGAGTTATTTTTGCTACCTACTGTCATCTGTAAGTGCTTTGCAGACTTCTGTAGAACTGTATTTGAATCCCCACGAGAAATTATAGAAAAATGTTCCTATCAAGAGCAGAAGCTCCCTAACAACAAGCTAATGCCTTTCAGGAATTGCGACCTCCAGGATGTAATAAGTGATCGATGAGTGAGGTAGCTCTCATACACAAACAAGACTCTTGCAAAGATAGTAGTTTTCTGCTTTTCCTCATAAAGAATTTGTCATTCATCAACATTTAATTTTCTCCACATTTTTAATATTCTTTTGAATCTCCAAAGGCTTTATAGAAAATACACCACTGGAAATACTCTTTGTGACCTTTTCCCAGGTTTGTGGGCTGATCTTGGCAGTTAGTATATGTGCTCAGCAGTCCA